GCGACGCCTTGGAGACAGACGATTGCCACATAGCTGGCGATCAGCACCACGGACGCGAACAACAGGAGCACCGATCCACCCCATGATTGTTCATCTGGCGCCCCCAACAAGTGTGACGTACGCAGAAACCGACCTGCCGAATCAGACCAGAGAAATGTGCAGGACAACGGCAACGAGACACCCCACACCCCGAAAGAAATAATACCCTCAAATACGAATTAGAACTGTGGTCTGACCTTGCCCGCAGGAGTACTCGCAGGGCAGATGAGTTGCTGCGGAGACACAGTATATCAGATTTATTGCATCTGCACAAACGAAGTTCGTTTGTGCAATTGTACCATATCTGATATAATGCACGTGCATGTTCACAAAAAGTTCGTTTCACGAACGACATGGCAATGGGCTGCCCAGATAGCCTGGCATGCGACAGAGCGGTTGACACGGAAAACGCTAAGTTAGAATTTTGGCCAAGGCATTAAGCACCAGGGTTGGAGACACCATGGCGGACAGCAGGCATGGCGTTGCCACGACATACGGGAATTCCCGCGCAGCAAGAGCTCGAACGATGGCAGCGACACAGCACGGCACCACTAACGCTACGCGACCACGACAATATCGACACCACAACAGCAATGACACCACATGAGATGCTTGCATGCAGCGCTTCAGTCATGGCGGTCCTCGTGCGAGCATGATTTGTGCAGCGTCTGGAAGGCTATGGACTCGCACGCCTTGCCCGAACGGGTACGGGCTCACGCGCCTCGCCACATGTGCCGGGATCGGCGCCTCGCTCGTTTGTTCATCTTCGATCATTGGTCTGCTTCCTCAATCCCCCTCACCGATCATCCTCCTGGATCCTCGATCCTCATCCCTCCTCCTCTTCCTCTTCCTTCCTCCTTTTGTTGCCTTATACCTAGCTCCTCCCTGTCGCACCCCCAGGGGTGTCGGTAGAGAGGGCTGGACGTTTCGTTTGAGATGCTTCACCAACTACGATCTGGACGTTTGAAATCTGCAATAGTCTCAAGGATGGAGGGGGCTGGTTTTCAAAATATGGTTCTCCCCTTAGCGCCGCACAAATTCCTTTAGGCAGTTTGCAACAGCTTCAGTATTGGAGGTGGGTCGTTTTCAAAATGTTGCTCCCGCTTCAGCGCCGCGTACATTCGCATTGGGTCGTTTTCAAGTGGGGCTCTCGCCTTAGCGCCGCACCGCCCAAAATTAATTTCGGAAGTTTGCGGAAGTTTCAAGAATGGAGAAGGGGACGTTTGCAACATTTGGTTCTCGCTTTAGCGCCGCGTGCATTCGTTTTGGGTAGTTTTAGAAATCGGGTTCTAGCCTTGTCGCCGCGCAAATTCGCTCTAAAAACTTGCCACTGGTTCAATGATGGAGGGCGGTTCCTTTTCCAAAATGGTGCACTCGCCTTGGCACCCATTCGTTTCGAAAACGTGCAACATCCTCAAGGATAGAGGACGGCTCCTATTCAAGATGAGGTTCTCGCCCCAACGCCGCGCACATTCGTCGTAAAAGTTTCTGAACAGTTTCAGGGAATGTGGGCGGCTCCTGCTCTAAATATTGGTTTCGCTAGAGTCGTTGTTTACACAAACAAAAACTTGAGCGCATGCAGCAGCTGCACGGAGAAAGGGTGGCTCCTTTTCAAACTTGGATGTTCTGTTTGAGGCGCTTGTACACGTGAAGACAAGGTGCTCGATCAAATGATACAGGTGCACGGATGGAGGGCGGCTCCTGTTCAATTGACGTGTTCGTTTGGGACGCCCTTGGCGCTCATGCCCAGGATTGGCACCTCGTGCAAGAGCCAATCGATGGAGGGCGGTCCGTTTTCAAAGCGGGGACGTCGCCCGACGCCCCCTTGAATTCTTCACGCTTCGCGTATCCCCACCAGCCCATCTCAAAACAGCAACTCTTGCGAAGCATGCCGACAGTCGTGTTTTTCAGGCGTGTTTCCGCCTGCCCCCGCATATCTCCCTTGTTCCTCCTTCCTCCCGCCTCCTTGTACATCCTCCTTGTGGTGGGAGCGGGAGAAGGACGAAGCGGAGGAGGAGGGAGAGAAAGCGGTGGGAGACAAGAGGGATTTAGCGGAGACGACGACCACAGCGATGATTCTAACAACGACGACGCACCCGACGACGACGACGATATCGACCGCGACGACGACGACGACCACAACCGCGACGACGACGACGACGACGACGACGTCGACGACGACGACGACGAAGGCGGCGGCTCGTGGGGCCTCTTGGGGGCTTCTTGGAGCCTCTTGGGGCCTCTTGGGGGCCTCTTGGGGGCCTCTGGGGAGCCTCTTGGGGGCCTCTTGGGGCCTCTTGAGGCCTCTTGGGGGCCTCTTGGGGGCCTCTTGGGGGCCTCTTGGGGCCGCTTGGGGGCCTCTGGGGGGCCTCTTGGAGGCCTCTTGGGAGCCTCCTGGGGGCCTCTTGGAGCCATCTTGGGGCCTCTTGCGACCTCCTCAGAAGCGCAAATGAGGGCTGCCCCCTGAGAAGGACAAAATGAGCCCAAAACCTTTGTAAAATCAATGGTTTTGCTATGAAGGAAGATGAGCGCGGCCCCCTCAGGAGGCCAAAATGGGGCCAAAACCGTAGTAAAATCAATGATTTTGGCTTCAAAGAAGAGCAGAGGGGCCTATCTCCGCCCCCCGTCGGGGCCAGAATCCTCGTGAGGGTCGTCGTTGTTTAGCCCTCCCAGGAGTCGAAATTGACCCCTCTGACGACCCACGAAACCCCCTCTCCAGGCCCAGGGGGAGGGGGTAGGGGGAGGGGTAAACCCTTCCCCGAAGGGGAAGAAGGGGGGTTGAGAACAGAGAGAGCTCCCTAAACCACTCACGCCCAAAGGGCTGGTGGGATTGATTGTATGGTCATACCTTCGCGCGTTCCTGATTACCCGTTGGAAGGACACATGGCAATTATCTTAGTTTCCAAGCGCCCCCTCGGCTTAGGCGAGAGCAACTTAGTAAGTTGCAGGCTCCTAGAGTGCTGGCCTTTCAAGGGCGTGGTCCTTGGTGAGGGCAGGAGGGCATGCAGGGGTCTATGAGAGGGGGCTTGGGACTGGAGGATGTACCGCAACATCTTTGATGCATGTTGGGTTTGTGGTTGTTTTCCTTATCCTGCTCCTTCTCCTCCTGTCAATCATCGGCGCCCGTTATCCTCCTCGATCCTCCTCTTACTCGTCCGTCTCCTCATCCTCCCGATAATCGTCCTCCTCCTCGTCCTGATCATCTTCATCCTCGTCCTCCCCATCATCATTGTTATGATCCCCCTAGATCCTCATTTTCTCTGTCCCCCGCACAATATCAATACTCGTCATGGTTCTCCTCCGCCTCTTCCCCATCATCCTCGTCATCAGCATCCGCACCCTCATCATCATGATCCTCATGATCAGCCTCATTATCAGCATCGCCATCGTCATCGTCATCGGCATCGTCATCATCAGCAGCAGCGTCATCCTTATCATGATCATCATCATCATCATCATCATCATCATCATCATCATCACCATCATCAGCATCATTATCATCAGCATCATCAGCATGACCATCAGAATCATCAGAATCGTCACCATCATCATGATCATCCTCACCACCATCGTCATCATCATCATCAGCAGCAGCAGCATCAGCATCAGCATCATCATCACCGTCGTCGTCAGCAGCAGCATGAGCATCAGCATCAGCAGCATCATCATTATCATACACCATCACCATCATCGTCGCCTCTGCCCCCCAACGGGCCGCTGCTACTGAGGCCTCCCAAGCAGCCGCGCTCGCCGAGGTGCTTCAAAAGCCAGGTGGTGTACGCTTGTTCCCTCGCCCGTGAGCTGTACCAGACAGGCTGCACTTGACGATGCAGAAGCGCGTGCTTGCCTGGTATCCAGAGCTCCAGGTCCCCCCCTCGCTCCCCCGCTGGCAAGCGTTGAAGGTTGTCCTGGCCAGAGCCCGCCCCACCGTCTTCTGGTCGGCCTTCAAAGCGCTCGCGGGAGGGTGGACTACCACCCGTCGGATGCATAGATTGGGTCAGCGGGGATGCGGCTTGGGGTGCGAGGGCGAACCTGACGCTATACTTCCCGCTGCCCCCGCCTGCCTCGCCTCGTCGCCTCAACGCGCTCCTTCCTCCCCGCCCTGCCTTCTCCAAGCGTTCGTGCCCTGGTAGGAGAAGAATAAGAAAACAACCTTACCAAACATCTGCCCCCCCCGAAAAAAAGTGGGCAAGGGGAAACAAAACCAAAAACGAAGAACCCCCCCCCCGAGAAAACGCTATGGGCGCGCTCTCTGGCTCCTGGCCCTCGCCTTCCAACTCTACCACAGGCTGTGTGTTCGCACGCCTGGCGCGCCCAGGTTCATGTCCCGGGCACGTCGAGGTGCTCTCTGTTGTTCCACGCTCGATCGAGGCGTGAGACTGGAACGTAGCTCCGCCAAGCTACGTGCGATCACCATCAGCATCAGCATCATCAGCATCAGCATCGTCAGCATCATCAGCATCGTCACCGTCATCATCATCATCATCATCATCATCATCATCAGCATCATCAGCATCGTCATCAGCATCATCATCGTCATCGCCATCGTCGTCATCATCATCAGTAGCAGCATCGTCATCTGCAGCATCATCATCCTTACCATCAACACCATCGTGGTCAGCAGCATCATCATATACCAATCACCATCATCACCATCAGCATCATCAACATCATCATTGCTATCATCACCGTTATCATCACAATTATCCTCATCATCACCACCGGCATCATCTCCGTCATCATCATCAGCAGCATCAGAATCATGATCATCAGCATCAGCATCATCATCATCATCATCATCATCATCATCATCATCATCAGCATCATCACGATAATCGTCCTCCTCCTACCGATAATCGTCCTCCTCCTCATCAACGTCCTCCTCTTTGCCCCCACCCCCCACTCCCGCCAGCCTGGCGGAGGCCGCAACCGAGGGGAACGCGCGTCTCCCCGGGCCCCCCAAGGAAGTCAGGGCCATGATGGAGAAGCTGGGCAGCGGGGACACACAGACGCAGGCCGCACGAGGAGGAGGAGAAGAGAGAGGCGGAGGAGGAGGAGGAGAAGAGTGCGGAGGAGGGGCGGAGGGAGGAGTAGGAGGAGGAGGAGGAGGAGGAGAAGGAGGAGGACGGTCGGGGATCGAGGAGGATGGGGGGCGACGACGACGACGACGACGACGATGATGATGATGATGATGATGATGATGATGATGATGATGATGATGATGATGATGATGATGATGATGATGATGATGATGATGATGATGATGATGATGATGATGATGATGATGATGGTGATGGTGATGATGGTGATGTTGATACTGATGGTGATGATGATGATCATCATCATCATGATCATGATGGCGATGATGGTGATGGTGATGGTGATGGTGGTGATGATGATGGTGATGATGGTGATGATGGTGATGGTGATGATGGTGATAGGTTGTGATGGTGATGATGGTGATGGTGATGCTGATGGTGAAGAGGAGGAGGAGGAGGAGGAGAATGAAGAGGAGGGATGGAGTGAGGAGGAGGAGGAGGAGGAGGCGGAGGAGGAGGAGGAGGAGAAGGAGGATGCAGGAGGAGGAAAGGAGGAGGGAGGAGGACGGCAGGTCCTGTCGGCCAAAGCTCAGAAGGACATGAAGGAGGCGCGCGCTGACAACGCCGCAGCGAACGAGCTCGCCCTCAAGGCAGCGAGCGTCGCGCGGGAGGCCACGGCGCAGATGCAGAAGGCCGACCTCGCGATGGCCGCTGCGGACGCTTGCGGCGCACACGGGGAGCCTTCTGAGTTCCCGACGTTTTCGGGAGTGTTCGTTGGTTCTTGGATTTGCCCTGGAAGTGTTTGGAAGATTTTGAAGTGTTCGGAAGCGTTCGTTGGTTCCCAGAGGTTTTGTTGCATCGGGATGCTTGCCAGCAGCTGCGCCTCGCCGAGAGGGGAGAGGGCTTGTTCCTGAAGCTTTCGAAAGTCTCCGTTGATCCGTGAAGGTTTTCGAGCCCTGGAGTGCTCTCCATCAGCTGCGCCTCGCCGAGGGACGCCGAGTGGTGCCCAGTGCGTCCAGAACGGTCGCCAGAGGCCCGAGCTGGGGCCCGCAAGCCAGCGTGGCGGCGCGCACGAGGGGGCCACCCGAGGGGGATGGCCTGCTGAGAGCACGGGGAGGCGTCTTAGGAGGAGCAGGCCTCCTCCTCCTCCCTCCTCCCCTCTCCTCCTGCCCATCCTCCTCCTTTTCCTCCTCCTTCTCTCCTCCTCCTCCTCCTCCTCCTCCCCTCCCCCTCCCACCACCTCCTCCTCCTCCCCCTCCTCCTCCTCCTCCCCTCCTCCTCCTCCTCCTCCTCCTCCTCCTCTCCTCCTCCTCCTCCTCCTCCTCCTCCTCCTCCTCCTCCCTCCTCCTCCTCCTCCTCCTCGCTCCTTGATCCTCCCTCCTCCCTCCTCCCTCCTCCCTCCTCCCTCCTCCCTCCTCCTCCTCCTGGCCTCCTGGGGTAGGCTGCTTGGAAGTTGGGGGGGCTTCTAAGGGTCCTCACTATTTGCAAGAAGTCCCCCAAGCCCTTCAAAGGTGACCCCCCAAGGCCCGTTGCGATCCGATCTGGCCGATTCGATGTCGCAGTGGGGTGTGGCAGTCCCCAAGAACCCCGCGGGAATCCCCTTCAACAGACCCTTCAGGAATTCAAAAAACAACACCCCTGAGGGGTTTTTGGAACTTCCCAGAAACACTTTCCAAAAATATAATTCCGGATATGTTGTTTGAAGGTTTCGCCCTCGGGAACCCCCTCAAGGGTTTTGTCTTGTGTGTTATTGTTGTGGGTTCTCCTGTTTCTTCCCACATCTCAAGTATAGGGTTCTTGTTTTCTTGAGACACCCCGCGCAGTCCTCACCCACACCCTGTCCTCATCACACCCACTCCCCTTGTTATCATCATCACCACCATGAATCAGTACCCCGCTCACCATCATCATCACTACCACCATCGCATCAGCATCATCAACCCTCATCGTCATCCACCCATTCTCTCACTTACTCACATTCACTCGTCACTCAGTCGTAAGCATCGGCCATCAGCAGCGCGCACCGTCATCGCCATCATTATCACCATCCCATCATGTTAACCGACCAAGACGGGCCTCGTCTGTGAGCGACTTGCGAGGAAGTGTCAGGCGGGAGCCCCCTCCCTATGGGACCCGCACTTCGTGTTGTCAATTGGGGTCATCCGAACCTTGTAACCGGCGTCACTTTTGGGCCCCTCACGCTGGAATGTTTAAGAAGCCTCGGGTGGGAGCCTCGTTTGTGAGCGAATTGCGAGAAAGTCTCATGCGGGATCCCCTTCCCTATGGGGCCCGCATTTCGTGTTGGGAGCAGGTCATCCGAACCCTGTAACTATCGTGAATGTATGGTTTTTCACGCCTGAATCTCGAAGAAGCCTCCTCAGGCGGGAGCGTCGATTGTGAGCGAATTTCGCAGTCTCAGGCGGGATTCCCCCTCCCTATGGAGCCCCCACTTTATGCTGGCAATCGGAGCGGGCCATCCGAACCCTATAACGGTCGTTTGGGCCCCTCACGCCTGAATATTGGAGAAGCCTCTGGCGAGAGCCTCAAGCGGGAGCCCCCTCCCTATGGAGCCCGCACTTCGCGTTGGCAATCCGAGCGGGCCATCAAAATGTTGTAATTGTCGTAACGCGTGGGCTTCTCACGCGTGAATCTTGAAGAAGCCTCAGGCGGGAGCTTCATCTATGAGTGAATCGCGACGAAGTCTCAGGCGGGAGCCCCCTCCCTATGGGGCACGCATTTCCAGAGGCCACATCACCACTTCGGGCGCGTGTCCATCGTGTTGCACTTCGGCGGTTCCCTGCAGCTGAAGCCCACAGGCAGCTTCGGCCTCCTGACGGACGTGAGCGGGGTCTTGGACGACGGGTCGTCCAAGTACGCGCAGCCGCCGACGGTGGAGATTCAGCACGCCATCAGGGTCTTCTCTCAGATCCCCTGCGTCTTCGATCTGAAGGGCACGAAGCGCTTCGAGCCCGGGGACCCTCTGATCGCGTTATTGGGCTGCACGCGCGAGGGCAAGCCCTTCCAACCAGAGGTCTGGTCTGCATGGGAGAAGACGGTGGCCTCGGACAACAACGGCGTCCTGGACTCTCGGCACCAGCACGAGAACTTTCGGCTCGTCTACGGCATGGGCATCTATTTGGAAACGCTCGCGAGGTGGATCAACACGCGTGCATATCGCGACGCGCGGTGCCTGGGCGTGCCCTTCGTTTTCCTGTGTGCTGTAGACGAGCGCAGCGCGATTCAAGGCGACCCAGACGCGGGCCGGCGCTTCCTGAACGCCCCGAACACGCACGAGACGGGGGGCATCCACGGCGCCTCTCCGACACGCGTCGGCATGGAAGTTCGGTTCACGGCCGCGCAGGAGGAGCTGCAGAAGAAGTTGGGGCTCGCGCAAGAGCAACAGGCCACCGTCGTTTCCTTCGAGGAGCGCGCGCCTGGCCAGCTCTTTCGCCCCCGCTACCTCCCGCAGGGAATCTGGCTGCAGGTGCACGGCTTCAAGGAGTCCCCGATCTACCAGGAGATCGCCGAGGCGCGGCCACAGGGCGCCGAAGGCGCTGGCGACGACGGCGAGACCAAGGCGCGGGCGGGGAGCTTGCTGATGTTCAGGCCCAGCGAGCAGGAGTTCACCCGGCAGCGCTGGGGGCCGCACGTCGCGCGCCGCTCGGGGTTCACCCTGACCCACCTGACCTCCACGTCGTCGCAGGGCCAGACGCTGCGCAAGGGCGCCAACATCGACTGCGCCAGGGGCCAGGACGCTGGTCGCACGGGCACGTCGGACGAGCACTGGCGACTGCACCTCTACGTCATGTCCCCCCGCGCCACGCGCGTTCGGAAGATGCTGATCCCGCGGCCGCCCGCGCGAGAGTTCCTGGAGCGCTGGCCGCCGGCGCCCCTGCGGGAGGCGCTCCGGAAGTTCGACGATATAGCGGAGAGTTCCAGAACCGAGGCGGAGCAGCTCGTAGCACGGCCAGGATTCGCGCTGCCCCCGCCTGAGCGCGGCCGCGCCCACCTCAAGGCCCGCGGGGTTGCCCCGCCGGCCTGGCCCGCGGGGTTGCGCCGAAGGCCTGCCCCCGCGCCCCAGCGGCCCGCGGGGTTGCCCCAGAGGCATGGCTCGCGGGATTGCCCCAGAAGCTCTGCGATCTAGCCGTCGGCAAACGCGCGCGCTGGCCGAAGCGGCGGCGGCGCCGCGAAAATCCGCTCCTTTGCCGGAAAAGGGGAGGTGAACGAAAAGAAGAGGCAGGAGGAGGATGAGGAGAGGGGAAGGGGTAGGGGGAAGGCGAAGATGAGGAGGAAGTGAAAAGAAAGAGGAGGAGAAGGAAAAGGAGGAGGAGGAGGATAGATAGAAGGAGGGGGAGGAGGAGAGGGCAGAGCAGAGGGCAAGAGGAGGGCGTCCGCCCGAGCGAGGAGGAAAGGGCTAAGGGCAAGCTAAACAGATTTGGCTGCGGGGCCATACCGCCGGAGTTATTTTCGAGTGGGTCCCGCCCCGCCTGCCTTCCAACACCATACGCAATATTGCCGACCTTCCGTATCCAACACAACATCCAGCACTTCACAGCTTCCGTGTCCAACCCACACCCCAATACTCCACATAATCCGTCTCAAAGACGGTTTCGTGATGACCTGTCCGACAGAATCCAGAACCCGCCCGCCGCAACCGCCCGCCGTCCGCCCCCGCCGGCCTTTCCAACACCACATCCACTACACAACCGTATCCTATACAACACTTTTCCAACACACACACACACACACACACACACACACACACACACACACACACACACCAGTTTTCCACAGCCTCCGTCTCCAAGACGGATTCCTGAGGATGTGCGTTCAAATCCCGAGCCCGTTAGCCGTCCGCTGCCGCCGCCGCCCACCGCCCGTCCCGCCCGCTGTTCCAACACCATATCCAGTATTGCACCGCCTGTTTCTCCAAAAAACAGCAGTTATTGTTCCACGGTTTTGATGCCCAACCCACACCCACACCCCAGTACTCCGCAGCCTCCGTCTCCAGGAGGGTTTCTGCCAGAACCCCCAACTCCAAGAATCCCGAACCCGCCCGCCACCCGCCGCCCGCCCCGCCCGCATTTGAATTGCACGACACGGCGCGATCTGCAACACCACACCCAGTATTCCACAGCCTACGTGGTCAACCCAGATCCGAGTACTCCACAGCCTCCGTCTCCAAGATGGCTCCGTTAGCAGTTGCATTAAAACCCCGAGCCAGCCCGCCGCCGGCCGCCCGCCGACCCCGACCGCCGCCCGCGGCCCGCCCCGCCCGCCTTTGCATCATACGACACGGTATGGTCTCCAACACCAAACCCAGTACTCCACAGCTTCTGCCCCCAACCCAGATCCCAATAGTCGACAGCCCCGTCTCAAAGACGGGCCCCTGAGGAGTTGCATATGGAAAGGAAAAAAAACAACACACAATCAACAAAACACAAACAAAAATCAAAAAGCAAAACAACAACAAAAACAAACAAACAAACAAACAAACAAACAAACAAACAAAAACGACGACAACAACAACAAGAAAACGCCTGCCGCCGCCGCCCACCGCCCGCCCCGCCCGCATGTATGACACCACACGACACGCAGTACTCCACAGCCTCCGTCTCCGACACAAAACCCGGTATTCCACAGCTGCCGTCGCCAACACGCATTCCTCAGCTTCCGTCACCAAGGCGGCGTCCTTAGTAGTTCCAGTCTATGCCCG